AAGAGAGAGAGAGAGAGAGAGAGAGAGAGAGAGAGGGGAGAGAGGGAAATGTCGTCGAGTTTATTATCAAAGGGTCGTTGATCCATCCATCTATCCGTCCATCCCGGGGAAGACCGAGCAAAGAGCAATTAGACGAGAATAGATCGTTCCTCTCGATGCGAATATCCAGCGAAATCCGTTGGAATAGCTTAATATTACGTAACGAATGAAATCTTCTCTCTGACCGAACAATAGCCTCATCAGAATTATCTGATGGACAGCTTGAACCGGGTAAAATAGACCCGGTCTAGAATTACGACGACCCACATTAACCGATCTGGTTCAATGAACCATCTCACGCTGCTCCTCTCGCTGCCGTTTAAAGCCGGCCAGCCGGCTCGCAGACTGAAACAACATCGGGTCGATGAACTTTGATAAGACGGAGGAGAGGAATCGCGCTCGCCTCGATCGTATCATCTCGATCTAATTCGACCATCTTAAACGATCGACGTTGATTCGACGTCGACGTCGAAGAGAGAGAGAGAGAGAGAGACAGAACAGAGAAGAGAGAGAGAGAGAGAGAGACGAGATATCGATTTCAGACTTACGAGTGGCAAATTGCACAGCTGTCTCGAGAGACTAATCTCGCTTCGGAGTGCTACAACGTTCGATACCCGTGCTACATCGGAATCGGTACTTGCTAGTCATTATGTAACGCGGATGGAGCCGAGAGATAACGCGCGGAGATAGGATCGGCTGTGACGCGGTACGGAAAGAGAAACAACGCCGGTGGCGGAAAGCGGTGGTCGGCGGGATGCATGGATGCGTGATTAAAGTCGCGTTCATAGTTCGAAGATGGATGGTTCGATCGGCGAGAGAGAGAGAGAGAGAGAGAGAGCGGACAGAGGCCGATGCGCGACGCTCGGTCGGCCGTTCAGGAAATTGCGTTTCGAGATTTCGTTCAGATTGCGGCGCACGTTCTATCTTTTGCATACGGAACGGCTTGCTCTCGAAAAAGAGCCCCCCTCTCTCTCTCTCTCTCTCTCTTCTCTCATTTTCCATTCCTTTTTTTCTTCTTCGAAGGAAAAGGACGAGCGTACTTGGTAGTTTATCGTGAAAAGACCGAGTGCTAGCGGAAATAAAATAGTTCCTTTCCAATCTCATTGAGAAAACTCTGCGTATCGATTGCCTCCACCTCTCTCTCGCTCTTCTCTTCGCTCCTTTTTTCTTTTTTTTTCATTCTTTCCAATCCTCCATTTTGCATGTGCTCGCGCGAATCACTTTGTCTTCCTCTCTCTCTCTCTCTCTCTTTCTCTTTCCTTGTGTATGTGTGTGTGTGTACATATATCTCGTAACGAGGCTGATTTCGGGATATCTGTTCCGCACGAACGAGTTTAAGAATCGTTGTGTGTTCCCTCGATACGCTTCTGTCCTCCGCACTCCCTCCACGTGCTCTCTTTCCCCGTGGAGAATGGCCCTCTGCCGCGGACGGTGGATTCTCCGGGCCTCCACGAGCCGGACCACGATCGTCGATAAAACGCACGGCCAGGAGAAAATTCCTGCACTGCAACTCGCAACCGCTCCCACGATATCGGGGAAAACTTCAAAGGCATCGAAGTTCGCCGCCATCGCCGAATCGTCGCGTCCCCCCTTCGCAGCCGGGACACACGCGAAATTTATGCGAATTAATTAACCCCCTCCCTTCGAGGATCGGATACTTGGAGAGGAAACTTTTCGAGCTGGCGCTTCCGCGAAAATTGACCGGATGAAAGGATTTCGGGACGAGCGATTCGTTCGAAAATCGAAACGTAAATGTTTTTGTGGAATGAATAAGCTGGACGTGAATTATGTATTTTTTTTTTTATTTTTATTTTCGAGAAATATATAATTTATCTTCGTTCGTTTGTTTTCATTCGTTCAATCGATGTCTAATTAAGTAATCGCGAGAACGAATTGTAATAAATTATAATGAAAATTCGTAGAAAAATAATGCGACACGATAGAATAATTGGAAGAGGAATAATTGGGAGAAATTTTAAACTAGGATTAATCAAAGACAACGTTACACCGGTATAAATAGTGTCCTCTTCGGCCGTTCTCATATGTCTTCGCAATTCACTCCATTGTAATCTTCAATCTTACCCTAACGATCCCCCCGGCTGGGCCCTGGCTAGGCATGCTGCCAACTTGTCCGTTTCTATTCACCGATTCTCTAAATTTCACGCCTCCGTCCCGCTTTCGCTATAATTCTTCCCTCTATCTGTTCAAGGCCGGTGCAACAACCTTCGCCAACCCTTTGTTCGAGATGTCTCCCGCGTAAATCGTATCCTCCTGGATTATCGAATCGTTAAAAAATCCGCGACTCTACGTGTACCACGAAGAAACAGGATATCCTCGATTCTATTTCAAACACTGAATTAAAAAAGTTTTCAAATTCATTCTCCATTTCAATGCGTGTAAACGAGCATTCGTTGTAAATCGTGTGTCGTTTCGATCTCGTAAATTATATTTCAGGATTAAAGTTTTCTATTCCTATTCACGCGCGTAACGAAGAAGAAGTTGTTATCGTCATTGTTCCCTGTTGGAACAGTGGGTCGAAACAATTCATCCTCATTTCCCCTATATAAATTATATCATAAAATTTCGCGACAATCTCTCCGTTACAGAATGTCCTTCGTGTCCACGAGATGCGCGAGAAAATTATCATCGTTCGGTAAAATCGAAACAGCGATTTCCAGATTAATTTAATCTCAAGATGTAACGTTTCATTTCCGCGATTCACAATTTCACGAATCCGCGATAAAGAAGATACGATCGTTATTGTCCCGTATCGGTGGGGGAGGTGGTTGATTCGATGCAGTCTCCCGCTTTTAACCGAGACCCGCGTCGTTCCCACCGGAAGCGGAAGGCTGCCGTTAATTTCTCCACGTCCAAAACTGGGAATGAGTCGCGGCCAGCCTCATACGACCGGCTCCGCTACGTCGTTTTCCGGACGGACGTTAAAGCGTAGAAATGTTTTATGGCGGGCGTTATTCGCCAATTTACGATTTCTGGCCAAGTTACGCTTTCTCTGTTACAAAAAAAAAGAAAAAATATTCGCGTTCCCCGCAGAGATCTCTCCACTCGCGATTCGAGTACAGCGCCGCTACTTATTTCTTTCCTGATTGTAAAGCGCATTCGACTGCTCCCCCGTCAAAGAAATCGCTCGAGAATTACGTTCGAATCGTTCTTCTTTCGTACACGATTCCTCCCTTTGGTCGAGCAGCAATTTCAATCGCAAGTACCCTTTAAGTAACGTCTATGGTGCTCGATCGAACGTGAAAAAAACGGGAAAAAAAGAAGAGTGGAAGATGCGCGAAATTATCGTTGTGCGACGAAGAATCGAGACAACAGTCCCCACTGCACGCGGATGAAACGGGTGGCGGAGACGAATAAATCGAAGGGAAGGTTCGATCCGATCGATTCGAGGACGCAAATAACCGGAATTAATCGAACTGCGCTTTGGCTTTTAATCGCGACAAGAGCCAGGAATCGGGGGTTCACCCCCCCGTTATAAGAGAGACGAAACGCACGCAGCCCCGAGGGGAGGGACTCGAACTTGGAAGACGAATGTCATCAAAGCGATTGCGAGACGCGGTGTCTCTCTCTCTCTTTCTCTACGCGAGAGAGATTGCACGACGCATCGCGGAGGATAATCTAAATAATCATCGTCTGCAGGGAAAACGCGATTCCTTGATGGCGGGCAACCCCTTCGTTAAAACGGTAGTAACGTCATCGACGAGCGTGGCCCGAGGCGGGCCCCCCTTCCTCCCTGTGTCGATCGATTTCGGCTATTAATGCCTCTCTGTCTAGTGTAACGACTTTATCCGACATAAGCTTGATAAGGAACTTGCTCGAATTGTGCCCAGAACCAGGTGGAAAGAAATTAACCGTTCGACGATATTCCTTGTCACTTTCACCCCCATTTCGCCTATTTTCGAAACGATTGGCCAATGCTCTCGCTTCCCTTCGTTTTTACTTTTTATTCTATTTTTTGGGAGCGTCGTGTTGTTTTTCGAGGATACATTTAAATGTTATTATTTCTCGTGTATGTTGTTGTTGTTGTTGTTGTTGTTGTTGTTGTTGTTGTTGTTCGCGTGTTGGCATGGATGGAGTGTGAAAAACGTGATTAACGCGACACCGTTATCCGCGAGCGTGGCATTGTTTAAAGAAGAGGTTCCGCGTCAACGTGGATGGCGCGGACGTAATCGATTTCCAACGTGTTAACGATTTCCTGCCGATAATCAAATTCCCGGCTGCAGCAGTTTTTTTCCTCTTTCTATCTCTATCTCTCTCGGGCGAGCATCGCGGTAATGGAACGGCAGATGAATTTATGCAACTTTGAACGCAGTTTCGCAGATTTTTTCCCACGGCTCCGTTGTTCCAGAAATTTTCCGCGATATCGGAATTACGGGGAAGGAAAAAAAAGAGAAAAAAATGAAAATTGGAACCGAACGTCCGTTTCTTCGAAAAATTTTCACGAACGACACAAAATTTTCTCGTCTCGATACTTGGATCCCAACGAACCA